TTGCAGATAATGCATTTCATTTCAATATCATTTCATTAGCGTTATAATTGTAAACTCAAACACCTTTCGACCGCTGCACCTTCTAGAGTTCTTGAGGATGAATGAGATGCTCGAATAAATATGATAATGAATACTGGGCATTCCGTTTGAGATTATCAAAAATTATTCGACCGCTAAATTACCTCGATACTCGATGCATGGTGGTTGTTTACATACATCACTTTAGCTGTGCACTTCACTGCGCTTATCAAACAGTGAGATACAGCCAAGATGGGCAACGGACAGTAATGCATTTAACGAAGCAGCTATAGTTAAGCGGTGAAACCCAAAGCTTCACCGATTGTCAGTTTATCAGAGGCTTCCGTGTCATGCGCGCGGTAGCGGGCGGAGCTAAACTGGTGGTGTAATATTGCATTATTATAGAGCCTTCCATCACCTTCTAACCCTCTTCCTCCAGACTCATTTTAGCACAATTTAGAAAACAAAACATGTAAAAGATGAGGTGGCAGTAAAAAAAACAGGGAACGCACAAAATTCCGATAATTAGGTCATAGCGCTCGTGTACTGAAAAGACCTAAAGGCCGATGTCAGACTTTGCGAATCGCGCGATTCGCTACTAGCGATTCGCGCGATTCGCTAGCGTCCGCGGTCGCGTTGCGGTACCAGCCAATTGAGTGATTCACTGGCCGCGACGCGACCGCAGACGCTAGCGAATCGCGCGATTCGCAAAGTCTGACATCGGCCTAATCCAGACTTCAAAACATATTTGACCCACGTCATTTGTGGCATGTTATGTGTGATACAGAGGGAAACACCAAAATCGGAGAAACGATCGGTCATGGCACAAAAAAGTAGATTCATGGGTGCGAGGCCTATCGCGCCCGTCATCAAAATAGCTCACAAAAATACTTCCACGATTAGGACAGATACGGTTCTTGTAGCCTTTGGAATGGTACAGCAAGGTGATGGGGAGCAGGGCCGTGGGTTCTATGTATAACGATCATCGGCGTTTTTAAGGCAGGCTTTAAAAATGGAGAAAGCGTAATAACTTCGTATAGCATACATTATTATGCGCATGCATTTTGCTGCGAAGTTCATACACTGTTGCTGTTATATTTGCACTGAAAATGTAGAAATAACGACAGCTCAGTAGGTCTTACCAATCTTTGAGAGATCATTAAGTTTGCAGGTTCTGTTGATGATGAGGAAGAGGAGTTCAGAAGATGGTGGGCACAGCGTAAAACACAAAAAAACAACTACAACAACAGAAGCGTAAGTGAAAGGATTCTGACGGCACCATCGCGTGACACAACCTTTTCCTTAGCGGAAAAGAAGTAAATGGATGCATTGGCAGGTCTTCTTTCCTGCTTCAGCCTCCATGACCGTCCTATTGTAGCCCTGCCCACTTTTTCACCCACTTTTCATCTCCCAGAGCCATCGACACTCGGAGAATATGTAGCCACTGAAACGGTAGAAACATCAACGGTCTTACGAAAATCCCAGAATATACTTTTCATACGGTCTACAGTCGATATCCGAAAGTTGGGGTGGGTGTGTCACCGGAAGTGACGTGCACTTGATAGAAGTGCGTGGATAAGCTGTTGCCAGCATGCTTTGCTGATAGCCAGCGATGTATGTTGGAAGCAGCTTATCCACATAGTTTCTATCAAGTGCACGTCACTTCCGGTGACACGCCCAACTCACCCCAACTCACCGATATCGAGTATACAGTCCTCATTTCAGAAATTTTAAATATCACCCCCTCCCTCCTCTTTCCACCTTGCCTAGCGGACTCTTGGGGTTTGTCTTGACGGTTGCAGTTGACCATCATTTAAAGAAGGCAGCATTTTTGCGTAATGCTCGCCTAACCAGGAGACTAACCAACTTTGGCACCACCATTTGGGATTGCATATGGAAACAAACCCAGCTTAGTGTGATTCTCAGTAAAGATCCATACTATCCTTCTCACTGATTAGCGCTTTGTCTTCCGTCTCCTCTGTCTGTCGTTCTGTATGTCTGTCACGAAATTCCCTAGCTCCTCGGGATCCGCCTGGAGGGACCGGGTCAAGTGTGGGATGGGTGGGCAAGGTCTCACGAAGTACAAAACACACATCAGCTAAGCGGAGCCCCGCCCACAGTGGGCGTGGCGTGCGTCGAAATGAGTGGTACTGAGGACCAAGATTTCAAATTCATGTACAAAACAGCCTCGAGACTGGGGAAAAAGTGGGTAACGGTGTGATTACTAAGCCAGATCGAATTAGGTAGACGGTGTTAACTATAATTCTAGAGGGTCGTGCAACGCGTGTCGCGTGCGGCGCCCTTGGCCGGTTGCCAACCGGCCACAATCCGGTGGTTCTGTGCGCAGGGTTGCTAATGAAGCATTACCGCATATTTTCATCAGCTGCGGCTACCTTTTATGTCTGCGACCATTCAAAAAACTCCTCATAGATCACCCGTACACGCTTTAGAGTGGTGGTACCGAACTAGACTGTGTTGCTCAGGAATATTTCGTCGATTCGGTTCATCTAATTACCCTTCAAAGGCAAAAATGCTAGCCCATAGAGTGCATGAGCATAGTATCAAGCATGAGTGAGTACACGCAAGAGTATTTTTGGTATAAAATGTGAAGCATGAGTATATAAATATTCGTATGTAGGAGTATGAACCTTAGGCGCTGAATCGTTTAGGCACGCTGCTTCTTGAGGAGGAGGAAGAAAATGGGAATGCTTTCCAACCCCGGGGTTCCTCCCTTTACTAGGGCTTAGTTCTATTAGAAGGGACAACTCTGGGGTGGGTAAGCATACTATATATTTTTTTAGAAGAGTAGGTAATATCGGAATCGGTGTGCCCACCCGAAAATCACTGACTGCTGACACAGATCAATGATTAATCCGATCGAAGCCGTTCAAGGGCCGTATGCTATCCTCCCCGAAGGGTTAGGGGACGAAAATTCCTTTAAATTTTCTCTGTCTTCCCAACTGGGATTGCCCTGATAAAGGGCCTACATTTAATGTATGTATGTAGGTAAAAGTAAACATGCACTGAAAATGAAGAAACTATATCGTTCAAAGCAAATAAATTTAAGGAAACTTTGGATCACCTAGCTTCGGGGAAGCATAGCATACGGCCCCAAGTCTTGCCCAATCTGCAAAATTTGTTGTGTACTGCCGAAAACTCTCGTCTCCCTCCGTAATAGCCTTGACACCATGGAGCTACCACGATGACAGTGAGATGAGGAAATCGGTTTATACTACGCACTTTCGACATGAAAATGGAGACTTCACGATACCTCAGTTCGCAGCTGCCACTGTTACACTCGAAAGTGGTCAGAAATAGAAGAATCGAACCTCTCGCATCCACAGGGCATGGAGTCACAAACTATCCTGCACCCACCACCGACAGATCCGCATCGGTTAAGTAACCTAAAAAGAAAGAGTAGTTGTAGGGTAGACCTGTTAATGAATGTCACGCAATGACAATAGGATACAGAAAGCTCAGTTTTCTTGAAAATGGAATAAGCGTGTAAGGGCGGACGTGCTGAGAAATCAGTCGGTTGTTTCGCAACACAACAGCTGCGCTCCAATACAGCATGCGCGCGCGACACGCTCTGCGCGCGCCTCTCGATTTATAGATGCGGCCTAGGTAGTCTCGCCTCCAGTGGGCGTGGAGTTCTTAACCCATGCTAATACTTTTGTGGAAAAACAATTCATAACTCAGGCCCTCCGGAAGAAAGCCTACAACAACGAAGAGACTTGCTGTAACGTCTTAAGCAAATGCTAAGGTGTCTCGCCAGCTATACACGAAGAGTAGAAAGCCTGAAAACAACGACGAAGCGTCCCCTGAATTGGAAAGGCGTTCATTCCTCATAGTTCGGTTTGGAGAACCTAGAGGGGTGAAGCGGGTGGATAAGGTTAAGTCATTAGGAGGAGAGGCCAAAATGTAACGTGCGCGTGGCGTCACACCAATGCCACTAACAATCAACACTATAGCTCGCTTATGAGCCGGTCCCGTAAGGCGCGGCAAAGGGCTACAGAAACTTGGCTACGGATGGGAGGTTAAGTTCTGCTAAGGCTAAGTTCTATAGGTCCTGATATGGGAAGTGCACCAATGTGGGCAAAGTTATCCTCGAATCGAACATTGTAACTGTAACTCGTTTCCAAAAGGTTCAGGAAGCCGGGAAAAAAGTTGCTCGAGTCTAATAACGACGAAAGGGAGGTCAACTGCTATCGGTGGGTGGGGCGTGCAAAATTACCACGAACTTATAATTCGGTTCCATGAAGTCCATTGACCGGGAGAACAGGCGGTGGAGGTCGGCGAAAGAAAGGAGGCCAACTGTTGTTGGTGGGCGGGACACGCAACAAAGTGGGCGGAGTTTATTGCCAGACTTATAACTTGGTTCAAGGAGGTTCCAGAGAACGGGAAAAAAGTGGGCGATGGAAAGGAAGTGGATTTCGGTCAGTTACTAAATGCTCAATAAATAAACACCTCACATTCCTGACCTATTATCAGGGAGGCAGTATTCATTGAACCGCTAAGTGTTTAGATTTTTGAAAAATGATGAACGTTTTTCGGATAGGCATCAATGCACAGCGAATGAGCACTTTATATTCTCTTCCCAATACCTCTGGAAACAAGACCAATTCGACCCGCTATGCTGAATAATTTCAATACAAATGGATTATGGTTACAAAATTAAGATAAGTACCATTAGCTCCGCAAGCTACTGCGCACATCACTCCGTCGACTATAGCTACTAGCGAACCTATCGAACGTCAACCTACGCATTTCAGCGAGGCATCTTATTCTATTCTTATTATGAACGTTAGCCGAGTGACCGGACGCTCCACAGGTGCTCCATTTCCATTAAAGCCCGCTGTGTGGTGCGCGCGATAGCGTGCGGACCTAAACTGGTCAAGGCAGAAAGAAATATGCGCCAAGAGATCAGTTGAAATTTTCTTGGATCATTCACACAATGCCGACAAATGTTTCATTTTTTCAGAACCCGTGAACCCGACACAACTCTGGCCTCCTTCAACGATCACGAAGCTAATGAACCCGGCACAACTCCAGATACTAACTTAATTCATACGACAGCACATGACCAACTGTCACATGATCCAATGACATTGGAGCACCCAGGGTCATCCCATGCGCCATTCGCATCACCCCTCGGAACATCTCCCGGACATCAATACACTGCCGCACTACAAAGTAATCTGATGATTTTCGTTGTCGTAAAAAAAGCAAATTTAACAAAATATTTCAGAGCACAGCGACGCTAGTGCTGGCCATCCAGCTCGAAGCTCTGATTCATCAATGATGTTCGTAATATTGGGTGCTGCCGTCGGTATTCTGATTATACTCGTTATTGCTGCGATTGTTGTTGTAATGATGCTTTCTAAAAAGAAGAAGGAGAGAGACAAAAGACTCGCAGCAGCACTGGACGAAGAAGAGCGCAAAAGGAAGGAGCGAGCGGTAATTTAGAAGAAATTTATTGACGCCATCTGTTCTAATCCCCTCCGACTAGTTGGCTGCATGCATATTTTTGCGTTTTGCACGTTTCTGTTGGCTTTTCAAATCAAATTCCCACTCACTGTCAATGCGTAAGTGCCCACAAAGCTTGACCATCGGTCTATGGTCACAGGAATTTGGATAAACCTCTACGCTGAACTAATTGTGCTTACAAGGAAAGGCTCCCAGGTCGCCATGGCCATTCAAGAAGAGATGTATACCCTAGATGTGCCTTTGAACGCTGATCTCAAATCTACCTTCCAAATCTGCTAAACGATTCTCTGAACGGAGTTATGAAGCAAAACAGCGCAACGGCAGTGGTCGAGACTCACAGTCAAAACACCAAACACAGATCATAACCTTTGAAGGGTAAAGAGCTGCCTTTGGCTGCGGCTCAGGTTGCTCATCCTTGTCAACCCAGTGTCGGCGATGCTTGATATTGACGTACAGGCACCACTTCTCATCTCTCTTACGACGGAACCGCTCATCCGTGCGCCTGTTCGAGAGCAATTCAGCAGCCACCTCGGCACGTCGCTGACGATCGCCTTCACTCAGGTGGTGAGGTACCCACTGTGCTAGCTTGTGCACCTTGCCCAGCCGATTCAGATGATCGGCGACGGCAGTAAAGCGAACATCCAAGACTTGCGCCAGTTCACGCTCATGATGATAGTCAACTTGCACAGACGTCTCCTCCTAATATATGCAAAAGTCAAGATGCTTGAAGGTATTGGGCAAGTAAAAAAGACGTCCTTCGAAACCGTCATTTCTTTCGCTTTGAACTAGTAGATACGTAAGTCTACCATATGCACAATTGAGAACGTAAGAAAATCTGGCGCCTGTGCATAGTTCGCTCTGCAATCACATTGAAGTGTACTAAATGTCATAGGCGTAATGCAATTAGTAGCAAAGCAAAGCAAAGATGAACTGTTGCGATCTTATAGCTGATTGACGCCTGTAAGAGTAAATCACTGGCAAACAAATATGCATAGGTGTGCTGATAGTGATATGAACGCCAGAAACTATGGGGAGGCAAATTTTTTAACAATTTTCGTCCATAGAAGCGGAAGGGAAATGTCGCGCGTGGACACGATACTCGCGGGGGAAAACATTGAGTTCTCATTGATACCATGGCAGCTACTCAGCGTTAGTCCAACCTGAAAAGGCGTTATCAATGAGATCGACATGAGCCAAGAAGATGTGACATGGCAGTTTTTCCTTTCTCCTCAGTTTGATTACAAGGATAAGTCTAGCCAATGTTTCATTTCTGAAAACCATTTCCAGACTATGAAAAGCAAAGAAAAGAGCAAGGAAAAAGATAACAAAAATGGAGACGACGACGAGAAAAAGGTTAGCAATTTGTTCGAAAAACATGCGTAATATTTTACGGCGCAAGGCATGAAAATATCAGGTTGTTCAAAAGTTCGTGCGCATTTTTGGATCTGTTGTGACAAGCTCCTTCAGCAAATTCTAATATGTTCACGTAGGCTGTGAATAGGGCACAAGGTGCAGTAAGTTATACCCGAATCAAGCCCACCATCGTCGCCTTCTTCGAGCTTCAAAGTGGGAGAAGAAAAAACACATTTCTTCACCCTCCCGTTCGAGAACTGCTAAGCCACAATTCGATCGAAGCCTTTGCAACACATCTCTCTTGCCGCTATCCAAATGAACTGCCCTGTGGGCATCACACCCTGTTGATTCCAATGCACATTTCATAGAGGTTTCCGCTCCTTCATACAAAGTATTGAAGCTCTGCCAAATATTTTTATGAATTGACCGCTGATGACAGCAGTGCGACACGAGTTTGGTCTATGAGCTGCCACAGGTGATGGGGCTCTCTCTTTTTCAACCTCTGTGATCATGGCTTATTCTTTCTTGAAAATTCTTAGCACCTATAGGGTGATGGGCTTTCACACTCACTCTCAAATCGCTCTCACTCTCAAATTCCTAAATTTCTTATTTCCCTTCCGATCCAACTTTGCCTGAACGACTGGAGTTTGTCCATTCGACAAGCGATTACCGCATTCAGTGCTTGTCACTTTTATTTGAACGGATTCTTGAGGAGTTCTAAGCTACTTGAGTCTCTTTTTCAAACTCTGTGATCATGGATTAGTCTTTGTTCTTGAAAATTCTTTGCACCTGTCGGGTGATGGGGCTTCGCTCTCACTCTCTTTCGCACCCCGTTCGAACCTGGTCCTTCCTTTCCCATGGCTTTTCTAGTTTCTGAGCGACTTTTGAAGAAAATCGCTGAGCTTCCATTGTTTGCGCGAAAACGCTTTCCAACTCGAACAGTTCTTCCCCAAATCTTTGAAAACAGACGTTTTTTTCAAACGAATTTTTTTTATTACGAAAGCGTAGCGAGCAATAGAAAAATATTTTGGAAAGAAGTAAGGATAACCCAGGAATTAGCAGGAACTTAAAAACTTAACAGCATGTATATTTATGCACCTTAACAGTAAAATTCCAGGAGAAAAAGAAAAAGAAGAAGAAGAAGAAAAAGAAGAAGAGAATGAGAATGAGGTGATGACCATTTTCATAATTTTTCAATGAGTATCATTACTACGTTGTGCTAGATTTCTGTGCAAAATTGAGGGCTGTAGACCATAATAGCCTAGTTCATCATCAACAACCAAATAGAATGAGATGGAATTGTGAGCACGTGGGTAAAATATAGTTGGATTGGCCACTCCGTTGTGTTTTGTTTTCCGATGTGTTTTGTGTCAAAGCTGAGGATATCTTAATCGCAAAAGGTAGAAATTTTAGCAATACACTAGTCAAAGCAGCGTTCTGATGAATACGGGGGAGGTGTCTTACATCCTACACATCCTGTCCAATTCTTCGCAATGGTTAGGAGTCCGCCTGCTCTACAGCACTTTCCCTGCTCCAACCCAAGACCTTTTGGACTGAGGGAAGGATACCTAGCATTATCTTAGGCTCTTAAAGAGGTGATTGAATCAGCATGGCCTGTTCAAGAAATCTGGCACTCAAAAAAATTGACAAATTCACTGAGATTTTTCCAATCAAAGAATTCTATCCAAATAATATTGTATTTGTGTTTGTCTGCAAATCATACCATATTAGTGAGTGTGTTACAGAATAAAGAAATGGATATGGATAAGCTCATGGCGGCTCTCCAGAACGAAAAAATGGAGGAACTCATGCGTGACCCTAGTGAGGATGCAAACCCGAAGGACGTGAATAAGATGGTGAAAGAGTTACAACAGAAACGCATGGCAAAACTGATGAACGAGAACCAGACAAAGGTGGAATGATGGAAACGTGCAATATTAAAAGTCTCAACCATAAAATACGTATCTAATAGCAAATAGGATAAGATCTTAGATTATCGCAACTAATTGTGCATTATTCTTAGAATAAATAGGGAAAGTCAATTGTACTTTTCAACTGATCCAAATGATACATACTACTATGCATATAGTATACATTGATATTGATCAATTATTCCATTCATGAATTTGTCTACTTCTTATCCAGGTTCACAATGCATCTCATGTTAATGAGTAATGTTGGCATTTACAAGTCATAGAGAAGCCGATAGCAAAATTCAGAGTTACCTCAGTGAATCGGTCCCGTACTAGGTGGAAAGTGATCCACTTAATTCTGAACTGAGTACGCGATAAACCGTAAAAGGTAGAAGGAGGAGAAACCTAGAAAGTGCGTATCATAAAAGGAAATTGTCATGACCGGGCGCGACAAGAGTTGGAGGCGGCGGGCGCCCACTGACCGCGCAGATGTGAATGAGGCTAAGATCTTTTTTGAGCACTATTCCATTATTACTCCCCCAAAAACTCGAAACTTTATTTCTCGTCGCAACATCGCTTATAAAGATATTTCGTTGCCTGATTGCGAATATGGTATTCGTTCTCGAGGTTGGCGACATTTGGGCCAGTTGGCGCCACCTTGCCACGACGGCTTTTTTCAAAATTCGGTGTGAACTTGTGTATAGGGCTTACTTGATGTCCTGATTACGACTATCGACATTCGTTTTGAGAATTGGCGCTAATCTAACGCTAATTTCATGCTCTCCTAGGTCCCTTCACTTAGGTAAAATGCCTAATGGAACTTGTTAGGAAGGGGACACCGCTTTAGGTATGTGCAACGTGTGGCAAAAATGAAGTGAGATCACAGAGTGAGTGACTTGCTCTGAGCTTCCTCTCCTAGAGGCTCGGTCCTGATTCCGACCAAATCAGTGAGAGGGCGCAGACGAGCAGGAAAGCAGTGAAATCATCTCTTTCACTTTCCTTTCTTTAAAAACCTCAACTATAGGAGTATTTAAAGCAAACAACTTTCGTTTAGACTCCAAACCAGCCTTGCTCGTAGCGTTTTAAAACAGTACCCCGTTAGGACACCGCCAACAACAGTTCCATTCGGGAGTAAAAAATATGTCGATAATGAGGTTTGTAGTCGCGAGTCGAGCCGCGTATAAGAAAAAAGCGAAGTAAAAACCCCGAAACGAATTTCTTAACAAGGCTTATCCCTCCTCCCCAAATACTGAGGAGGGGGTGGACGAGTTGTCGAATTGACTTGCAATCCAAAAATACGGCTGCAATCCATTTACCCGATATATACTCGATATCCGAAAGTTGGGGTAGGCGTGTCACCGGAAGTGACGTGCACTTGATAGAAGCTATGTGGATAAGCTGCTTCCAACATACATCGCTGGATATCAGCAAAGCATGCTGGCAACAGCTTATCCACGCAACTTCTATCAAGTGCACGTCACTTCCGGTGACACACCCACCCCAACTTTCGGATATCGACTGTACACAGAGACATACGCAACAGTACAAACAAAAAGATACAATAATTCAATGACTTAAATAACTAAAAGCAATCAAAAGACGTAGCATTGATTTCGAAACGCCAGATAGTTGTATGCAATCGCGCAAGGACGCGCGCATCCAAGCACGGCTCTCATACGACCGATGTCGCATGTTTGCGAAATCGAGCTATTTGCCGAATCCGAACGTTGACCGGCGCCGCGAGAACTGTCACAGGACATTGTTTGAAATGTGGTCGGGCTTCCTTTTTAAACGTTGGGTCCCGCCACTATTGAGTCGCTGGCACCTAGTTCGACTCGCTGGTACATCGTTCGACTCGCTGGCGCAAAGTTCGATTCGTTGGTGCAACGTTCAATTCGCTGGCGCAACGCTCGGATCTAGCGATTCGCTAGCGCAAATTCCCAAACCTGACCCGGCCTACGCGCAGAGTTCAGCTACCGTACCTGAGGCTCGGATGACCCGCCCCACTTCCAAGCCGTTAGACCTCCTTACCAAAACGCCTTCAAAGCAGGTTTTCACAACGCAATGGACATTTCCCTATGTCTTCGTACTAGACTCCACCACCCGCCTTGAATCGAGGGATGCAAATCTGCCACACCCATTGCTTAAGACGATACTTGGCAGGAATTTCTTAAAGCAACAGTCCAGGCAGGGTTTCAACTACTTGGTCATTAGGCGGTCAAAACATGCCCCAGCCCAACTAAAGTTTATAGGAAATGTCTTTAATTTCAAAACCTACCTCTAAAATGCGCTGGAAGGGGTCGAAGTCCTCTTGGAGGGGGCGGATCACCCATAAAGAGGCGGATCGCCCAACATACGCTGTGCAGAGTCCGCGCTTGACTAGCGGTCGTTGCGGGACCGCCGCGCTGTATGAGGTCGATTCCATAAGAACGCAATTGAAGCGCTTCAATTTCGATTGCTGGCAAGTAGTTATGTATTTGCAAGCATGCAGCTATTTGCCAGCAGTTGCAATTAAAGCGCATGTACTACGGGCAGGTTCGGACAACTCGTCCAACACACGTCTCCCTAAACGGCAGGGCATGTCCCTGTCTAAGCCCCAGTTGGGCGTTTTCTTCACTTTTTCTCTTTACGTTCGACCACTTTTCACCTACAACTTCCATATAGGTGCTTTTGGCCCGCAAATTCGTTCCTGGACTGTTGCTTTAAGTGGGCATGTCATGGTGACATGCGCCCTCCATCACCTCAAGCGCAAGAGATTCTAGTGGATGTAGATAATGGAGTTTCGCCAGTTGCAGTCCACCTAGATCAGAATTTTTACTCAAATCGTATGCGCGCTCTACCCTTGCTAAAACTGGGTTATGAAAAAGTTGGTGGAGTGCAGAAAATTGAGAAGTGGGAAAGAACCAAAAGTACGAAGAGGGAGAGATAGGGATACTGAAGGGATGCTAAGGTGGTCATCAACCTATGAGAATGCCCATTTTCAGAGTTGTTCTACAAAACGCATGAAGTGAAAATAGTTTATTTTAACATTTGTTTTTTCTGTAGATCGAGATGAAATGCAAAAGATAGTACTGTTGCTGGATATTACCAAGTAATGTTGGAATATTCGCTTGTAACCATTAAGCCTTTTTCTTCTTTCTTTTCTTTCCACTTCCTTTTTTCCCTTTTTTGTTCTTTTTTAAAAATTCATGGTGTTTCGAAATCTTCTCTTTAGACTGCTGCTTTGGTTTGTTTGCTGTTATTGTTTCTTTGGATCCTGTTATTGATTCTTTTGACGTTGAAATTACTTCTGCTGATTTTGAAGTGTGCTCTTTCGAGTTGGACGACTCAGCGCTAAACGCGCTTGCCAATTTTTCCTTGAAACTTGGTGCTTTTCGTGCTAACGGTGTTGTTCGTTCCTTTGACAGCGGCTTTTCTTTTCCTTCCAAAGGTTTCCCTTCGCTGCTTTTTTCCACGGGTTTCGCTCCGTTCGTGCTTTTCTCCAAAGACTTCACTCCGCTTGTGCTTTCCTCACTTTTCATTTCCTGAAACTCATGAAGACTATCAATATAGACAAAGTGAATGTGTGAACATTCAATTACTTCATTTGAACTCTTCGTTGCAGCCACCAGTTTTTCCATTCTCATCTGAAACATTCAAAAGGTAAGAGACAAAAGAAACTGCTCCACTGAACCTATCTGATGGTGAGCTTTCGAAACTACTTCCGGGTCTCATCCGGTAAGGGGGTGGGGCATCTGGTGCAGTAGTTGCTGCCACCTAGAAAATTCCAACTCAGATGAACTTGCAAGAGAAACTTCCGAGTTACGGGCCGCAGCAGTGTCGGCAGCATATGCTGCCGACACGCCCACTCGTCCGTGATTGGCTACCACCACACGGGTTACTGTGTGCAGACGCGAGCCAGCCAGTCATAGACTAGTGGGCGTGCCGGCAGCATATGCTGCCGACACTGCTGCGGCTCGTTACTCGGAGGCAGGGTGAATTCTATGTTGAGACAAGTATCAACGGGGGTCGTATTTTGGTGAGATTGGAGGTGGGGGGTCGTATTTGTGTTTCATAGGTGAGTTTAGCACGTGTAGTGTGAAGGAGCGAGAAAAATTTTGCTGTTTCAGTGTATGTATATATTCCCCCCACTCGACGGCTGTTTTGGAGGGAAAAGTGGGGGTGGAGTTAGGTGTGTCGAATGGTCTCAGAATTGAATACTATAGAAACAGCGACCATGATGGCGAGGGTGGTGAAGGGGGGTCGTGAAATTTTTGATTGGAAGAGGGGGTCGTAAAAAATTTCGGAAAAGTCGCAACGGTAGGACCGACCCTGCCCGGAGGTTTCTCGTGCAAGTCTATCTGAGAACATTTGCAAAGGAAGCGAACCACTCCGCTTTACATCTCTTCGGAGCTCCCATGTTCTGCACAAAATTTTTGAATATTTCAAGTGATGTGAACTGGCAGCGGACATTCTTGCCCCCCCCCCTCTCTGGCTGGATGCGACCACATCTTTCTACTACGTTTGCTTCAATGTCTTCATTAGTTTTCTTCTTCACAAGTTCTCTCATTGATAACACTGACATAGCTCTTTTCTCCTTTTTCTTTTTTCAATAAAGAAACCAGCAAATAGCAACAGTGTAGCCACTATTATGATAATGGCAGGTGTTCCCAATAGAAAAAACGCGACGGCATTGTCGAGGTCATCTTCTTCGTCTTCAACATCAGCATATCTTTCATAACTAAAACTGAATTAATAACACAGGAAAAAGCAGCGCCGAAAACTTGTATTTCATAGTCTAATTGTTAAAGAGAGGCCGAGTACGCGACAGGGTGCTCGTCGCGCGGCAACGCGGTCGCGG